AGGATTTTGTGCCTGGAGTGAGACATCTTAAATTTTAAAATTTTGGCCTTAAAATATCTGATCGAGTTTGCACACCCAGAAATAGATGACATAAATTTCACATAGCTCAGGGTTCTCTGAGGCTTAATTTTGTTTTATTAAGTGTTTTGTGATTTTTCATATGGAAGCAGCTATGTCCATGGAAAATAATAGTAATTAACAGGTTTTTGTGCCTGGAGTGAGACATCTTAAATTTTAAAATTTTGGCCTTAAAATATCTGATCGAGTTTGCACACCCAGAAATAGATGACATAAATTTCACATAGCTCAGGGTTCTCTGAGGCTTAATTTTGTTTTATTAAGTGTTTTGTGATTTTTCATATGGAAGCAGCTATGTCCATGGAAAATAATAGTAATTAACAGGTGTATGTGTGTGAGACTAGACCTGTTGGAGTTTGGGTATCAAAAATCTTTTGTGGAGAAGTTACTGTGCTGTAACTTTCTTGCTTTGGGGTGTGAAAAAATACACCCCCGAGCACAGCAAGGGTGAATAGGTTCCCAGCACTGGGAGCCGCGCACCCAACTCTGTTAGCTACTCCCCTCATTGAGGTGATTTATCTAGGGTGCTGGGAGAGTTGTCACGCAGCACTCATACCATGACCACACTGCTGCGTTACAGTGCTGTTGCAGAAGTCTTTTAAACTTGAATGTGTAATCAAAGCCTTAGAGTACCCTATATCAGCTTTTAATGCTACACAAGTATGCCTGCAATCGACTGGTCAATATTTCAGCTAGGGATGTGAAAGTGTAACCATGTATACGGTTACATGCAGGCTCTCAGTTTGTGTGGGGAGCCGACATATAAACCAGCTTCTGGGGAACCTCTGCCCCCTCTCCCCAAATGTAACTATGTAATCACTGAAATCTTCTGCTTTTTCAGGTTTACTTGATTAAACACATTTTAACATCCCTAATTTCAACCTCCCCTTATTTGCAACCTACTAGTATTAACTGAGTACAGAGGATTATAAATAGTCATATTAATATGAATGTGAATCATGATCCTATTAGTATGTCATATGGCATACTGTAGTATGAAATATAGAATTTAAAAAGAAAATGTTTCAGTTATAGTGTGAAGTGTTTCAGATAATAATTGCACATTACCAAATTAAAAAATAGGTAGCAGTGTAATAGGGAAAATTTCTCTCTCAGGCTTCTGCTAGAAAATCACATGAGCTTTAGACTATGCTTTTCTCTTACTGTTTTTATTTAATTACATTAATGTTTGAAACTACATTATAGCTTATGAACAGTGAGATTTTTTCACACCATGTTTTATTGTATCAGTGTATGTTAACATTCTACTGCAGTAATATTATTGGATGTAATTTCAAACATGGATATAGTATGATTTAGTAAATAAAAATGCATATTTCAAAACCTACAATAGATGCATCTACTCAAAAGATAAAAAAGCATCTGAGGAGCTACCAAGCCAATAAAACATGCTTTACAAAGAAATATAGACACTTTTATGTACCAATTTTGACATCGGAATGTTTCTGAACATAAATCAGTTAAATAGTGCATATTTGACATAAAACATATAGTAACTATCTGAAAGACCCAGATGCTTTTCCTCAAAAAAAATCCTGGCTATATGACCCTTTTATAAAATGATTCTTATTTACCTCATTGACTAACACATTAAAAAACAGTTTTTTTTAAGGTTGTCTCACTCCCTCTTAAAGATATTCAAGATACTGTAAATATACAAATGGGGCTTTGTTTAGATAAAATTGAGGGTAGATTCCATGATGCCAATGTCTTGAAATTCAAAGTCACATCTGACATTTCATTCTATACCTTAGCCATTAAGTCTTATTGTTCATTGTTTTTTCATGACACTGTGAGGTGAAAGGAGAAGGGAGTTTATCAGAAGAAAGTTGACAACTGAAATATGCTCCTTTATCTACTAGACCTTACAAGACCGTTTACATTTTTATAAGACAAGTAGAATTGATTGTGATATAACTATAACATGTAACAGGGTTGGAATAACCAATTTATTCTCTATCATTAGGGATGACCATACATAACATGACTTATGGCTATACCACTAGTTATATATGTAGTCATCCCTAGCTCAGGTACTTTTATGTTGCATATTTTCTATTTACCATATTTTTATTTAAAATTTCTATGTGGAGGAACTGAACATGTCAGGGAATTGGTAACATATTTAAAAGCTTTGTCAGCTAGGTCATAGTTTGAATCCGGTCCAGTCTAGCAATTTCACCCCCACTTACATATAGAGTCCGGTAGACTGGTAACAACCATCCTTTGACAATAAATAGAAATTATGGTGCATAGGCCAAAGACTGAATTATCAGGAAGACTGAATGATTTCCTCCAAATCAGGGTTCAAGCACATTGTTAAGACAGTGTGGGCAAACCTTGCTCTGTCACTGCACATACAGTACAAAGTCTACATAAAATGGCATTTATATTTCCTGTGTTATCAATTTGGCAACTTACAAAAGCCTTAAATAGATTTCAAAATAAGTAAGGCTATCTGTTATAGTATCCACAGTCTGTCTTTCTCATGGATATTTTATTTCTCAAAATCTATAACTGTAGTTGTATTCTGTGTAGCAACATCTCACAATACCATTCCAAAGGTTTGATTCCTAAACGTAATGTGGAGGGAATCTCCTATTGTACATTCTCTCTCTGATTAAGATCCATTGGGATAGCACATATCTAAAGGCATCCAATATTGAAAGAAAATCAAAACGTGCTCAATTTTATTTTGCACAATTTTTAATGTGATGCAATATGAATATAAATGTATATTAGCCTGACTGACAGTCTTCGTAAATAATAATGTAAGCAGTATTTAAAAAAAAAAGTTTATGGACATCAATGATAAGGCTCCCTCTACTGGGGTGTATTACTAATAAAGAAGTTTCTGTGCAGAAAACTCACCCTGTTGATGTATGTACACAATTTAATAATAATGGAGCTAGATTTTAATGCCGTTCTCTGGTTTTCTTTGCAAGGCACATTCATTAACAATATCTAAATTAGTGCCAATGACGTTACTCTGCTCCACAAAGCAGTGGCATATAGCAAAGGGGTATTACAGGAAACATTCTGTCCCTTATAACAATAAATAGTATGGATGTGTTTTTAAATGCTATCTCACCATCATATTTAGAATGAATTGTTTTACTGAGGTTCTTTGTGTAGATTTTCAGGTATAGACTGGCTGATAGAAGTTCAATTGTATGTCAAGTGACTATTAAACATCAGTGCTCATGGGGGGCTTATGACTTCCTTCCCCTCTTCACATACAATTGTGCTAAATCTGTTAATGTTGCAAAGAAAACTAAGTTCATCAGGTAAAGTGGTGAAGGCCCGAGTGAATATATGGCTTTTACTTCATATGAGACATTGCAGTCCTGTTCTTAAAAACTGCCAGGCAGATTGGGAATCACGGTCACGGTTAATAGCAGCGAATTGCCAGCTCTTGATGGGTGGGTAGTCACTCCTTTCAGTGGTTGCCCCCTGGGGGAGAAGGTAGAAAAACAGAGGGAGGGAATTAGAGTGACTTTGCACAGTCGAGCAAGTTCATGCCGCTGGATCAGTAGCAAGCATTGGCAGGGCTCCACTCTGGGGAGGCTCTCAACAACATCACAGTCTCATTTTTACCAATTGGTGTTGCTATAGCCAGTGGTGCACAGGGGGAGAGCAAAGAAAACGGGAGGGGGTTGTGGGGGAATGGGAAAGCAGGAGTCTGGACTAATTTGAACAAACAAAAAAGTACTTTTAAGTTAGCGTTTAACCCATAACCATTCGCCTGGTACTTCTAATTGTACTAAACTATACTACTAGAAGTTCACTGTGTGATTAAAGAGTTGGCTCACAAACTCTCTGCATAACCTTAATTTTTTCAAGGTTCTTTGAGTGTAGAATGGCTTATAATAATGATTTTGACTAATACGATTTTTGACATGCAACTTTAATGTTTAACCTTAGTACAACTCCAGAGCATTTCATGTGTATTCAGCTGTAAAGAGTGATGATTTAAAGGGATAATATAAGAAAAAGGTCGTTCTAGAATGAACCTCTAACAAATTGCATAAAGGAAGCTTATTATTCCATGAGTAGAGGGATATGCAGCTTTTCTGATCATTTTTCTGCTTGGTTCAAAAATTGTTGAGACATGATTGGGGAAAGAAACACAAAAAATGAAAACTGCAAGCAGTGAACATTCTTTTGATGGTTATGATTTTGTTGCCACTAAAAATACTCTACAGTAATATAGTTATTCGTCTTTTTTCTTGTTTTGGGTGAAGAATTCGCTCCAATAAGAAAATGCTGTTATTGGTCGGAGGCTTGCCTCCTGGACCTGACCGGCTACCAAGCAATTTGGTTCAGTATTATGATGATGAAAAGAAGACATGGAAAATACTGACAAGTAAGTGGTTTATTTTTTGTAGAGTTGTCTTGATGAATCTAAAAACATGGTTAATTAAATTAGACATTTTATTGATTTGTTTCCCTTCAGAGATTTGTTTATGTATCACAAGAGGTTTCACAATGGAGCAATAAATTGAGATTGCAGAAGCTGGTAATTTTGTAATAGAAAAGGCCTAAATTAAGATTGGCTTAAAATCATTCCAGTATGTTTTTAAAATAAACTTGCAAAGTTTTCATATCACAATACATATCATCTGAATTGTTAAAAAATAATTTGATGTTGGAGGAATTCATATCTCTGGCTAACACTTTTAGAACACACTTCCTATTCTGTTTTTCACTTTGGTTTCCCTCTTCAGTCTTTATGTCTTTTGGTCATTGAAGGCAGTTTTCCCCATTCTCCTCTATATATATATCCGTTGCCCCCAGCGTGTTAGCATGTATCAGCTACAGTAAATAATGCTTAGAGGTTTTATGTACTGATTTTTTCAACACATTCCTGTCTTAAGGTGTGATTGTGTTTTACAGTGAATGTTTTGCCTTGAGCATTGAGATTTGGGACTTACTGTTATATTGGTTACAATTCCCAAACTAACTTGGTCATGGAATCTAATCAGTTTCTTGAATGCAGTAGGCTGTGTGTATTAGCCCCCTTGTGGTTAGACTGGCTTTAGGGATCAATACAACTAAATTTTAACCAAAGCTGCATAGATGAAATAATAAATGAACATTTTAAGCCATAAATGAAAACCATACTTCTTAAATTGGCCAGCTAGTAAACCTTGGATTTCCTAACAGATTTCCAGTTTTTCCTAGTGAAACATCTTTCACAAAATTAAATATTTTTATAAAAACCTTTTAATAGGATGAAGCCAAAATAGTATTTGGTTCATAAGACAAAGCAAAAGTAAAGATAGATGAGATGCAGTGCTTGAAATAATGCTTCTTCAAACTGGTTTACACAGTGAAACTAAACTGGCATCATCTACAAACTACAACAAGAAGACTCCCTAGATACCAATACTGTGAATTAATAGTAGATGGTGTTGTGTAAGAATAGCAATATTAAGGAGAAGATATGAACTATAGTCTAGAAAAGTCTACATTTATCACTTTGTTCTGGTAGACATGTCACTAACGACTTTTCAGACATCAAAACTATGATGATATTGCCTCTTATTGTGACAGATTACTTTTCAGAAAAATGTGTAGGATAATAAGTCAGTTCAAAAACAGTGTGTTTTGTAAGACATAAGTAATCTATTTTTCTGATGTTGTTTTGTGAAAGGCAGTACCTCATAGTGAGGCATAAGTGAACTAGAGCGCTATGTAGAGTAGGAGATTCCTGACTCAAGTTCTTGTCCTGCAGCTGAATAAAGGATATTATTTCATTGCATACTCACTGTCTAGAATAGCTGGTCAGTGTCCTGAATCTACTTATGCTTGCAAATATAATTTTGTAGGAATGAAATTTGACAGCTGATTATTTAAATGGATACTATCCATTAGTTTGGGGAAATACTGAACCATACTTAATGTTATATGTATGTTCTGATAAAGAACATTGTTCAGATTCTAAATCGGGGTGGGGAACCTCAGGCCCAGGAGCTGGCTGAGGCTCACAGCTTGCCTGGATCTGGCCCCCAGGCACCATTGGAGAGTCCGTGCTGACACTTCAGCACTCCAACCCCCCTGCTGCCCCACCACAGGGCTCGAATACATGAAAGCTACTAGGCTGGGCCCCAATGTCTTTCTCCTTCTCAGTCAGGGGCTACATCAGTGAGGTTTGGGGTTTTTTTGTTTTTGGCTGTTGTTGTTGCTTCTCACTTGTGTGTGGCCACTGACTGATTTTTCTGTGGACCAGTGGCCCCAAAAAGGGTTCCCCGACCCTGTTCTAAATTAATTGGCTCCAATCCATACATATTGTAATTTAAATGACTGAATTAGAATTATATCATGGATGAATGTGGACTAGTGTCTGTTTTTTTAAAAAGGTATCAGTCTGAACTTCAAGAAGTTTTTAAAGAGTATTTTTGTGCAGCTTACCAAAATAAAGCATATTCTTCCCATTGCCCTTTAGCAAGCAGTTATCTGAAGGCTTGTCTACACATAGCAGCAGTGTGAACTGGTGTGATGCACAATACATGGTCTATGTAGACCCTCGTTGTGTGAATTCAAAGTTTCCTAGTGCAGTGTTTCTCAACCCTTTTTTATAAAGTACCCCTTTTTCAGAAAAAAAAAGTACCCCCAGTACCTACAGTTTTCAGACACACAATTTTTTTTCTACCATTGCAACACATTTGTTTAAACGACTTAATCGGGCAAGCAATTAAATAAAAGTACAAAAATTAAAAAGTGCTATAAAACTTAAAACAAAAATTCAATTTTCTCCAAATTTCAGTTGTGTTGATGTATTCCCCAGACTTCTCTCGAGTACCCCTGAGGGTATTCATACCACTGGTTGAGAAACACTGCCCTTGTGCATACTACTATAGTACTTTCTGAAACCAAGTTTGAGTGACAGTGACCAGACTGTGAAACAAAACTGGAGTTACACAGAGAGATTTGATTAGCAGTACAGAGTGATCAGATTAGCAGAGTGATTGGATTAGTTACTAATGAGTTGTAAATCAGCTGTTGGATCCCCTCCTGAATTGATAGCTCGAGCATCAGCCCCACTCACCTCTAAGCAAGCAGTCTACCTTGAGCTTTAAAGCACTTCTTAAGTTGAGGCAGAGATTTGTGTGTGTGGATGGGTGTTAAGTTAGGGGTTACACTCAAGTTATAACTCAAGCTAGCCAATCTGTGAAGACACACCTTATGTAATAGTGGGAAACAGAAAAATGTCAATATTTGCATAATGGAAAAGGTCAAATGTGACAGGGACATCTTAGAACATATTAGAGATAGCCTTTAAATAATTAAAGGCAACAATTTAAAACTTTTTTAAAAAGTTGATAGCTCTTAAGCTGTTTAAAGTTCAATAAACCGCCACCATTCCCTAATTTACCATGAAGCAATGCAGGAACCCAGAGAAATGTGAGTAGAATTTTCTTCCCAATTTCTCCTTAAAACATACATTAACACTAAAGAACAGTGGTATGTTACCTTGAAGAGCAGGCAAGGAATATCATAAGTGAAAGGATTTGGGGAGAACCAGCAAGGAATCACAGCACAACACCTTGATATTGCATTGTAGTCATGGTGCTTCATCAACATGTGTTGTGGTGTTTAGTTATCACAAGACAGTGTAAAAATGACTTATTTGTGTTGTAGCAATAACATGAAATAAATATTACAGTGCAAGTCCAGTACATTGTGCCATCTTTACTTTCTGATGCAATAACTCTTTTATTCTTACCCCCCACAATCTTGGTTCTTAGACATGAAATATTTATCTGGCTATCTCCCACCCAGTCCTAGTGCAGAGTGTCTGAAAAGAAGAATAGTTTTCTTATTTTTTATCCCAATTTCTGATGGTTAGGGAAGGAGGAAATCATCCTCCTCTGTTTCTGTGTTACCAGCAAGAGCAATTCAGACAATCTTGCCCATCCCAGAGGCACAATGCACCTCCAAGTCATCAATGGAGGTGAAAAATTGACTGCTCACTCTCCAGTGAACCAGTGGAGCTGGATTGTGCTTCACTTTATGGTTCACTGTAAATATTAAGAAATGCCACCAACTTCTATCAAGACACTTTGGATTTAGACTGGTATAAATGTGCACAGAATTTGGCACCTGGTTTGTCCATATTACTTATCCCCTTCTCTCCTTTGACTTCTACAAGTAGTGTGTCATAGGAGCATGGGGCAGATGAGGTGGGAAGAGAAGATTGAAAATGAAATCCTGGGTCTTTGAACTGGAAAACTGCATCAGATGACTCAGGAAGGAGACTCAGATATTCTTGGACTGGACATGTTAACCTGTTAGAGGGAGATGGTTACCCTCACATCTCAGGAGGCTGAGTGGCTTTTGCATCAGTCCATTTGCTCAGTGCTCCATGAGGCGCCTTATGTGAGATACCAACAGAGCAAGAATATAATGCATTGCAAACCACAGATTCCACAAAAGCCATGATACTCAGGGATATGAAAAGAGTTGCAGGTTGAGCACTACAGCTGTTGAATATAAGAGCTTTGCAAAATAAAAATTTTGCTTTGTTCACGCTAGATGACTAGATCTGTTGGCAAAGGATACTGCATTCTTCTCTCTTCTTGGCTTCGCAAAGCAACTAATGCATCAGGACTAATGGGAGTAATTCTGAAGGTATCAGGAAAATAACTCACCTTTGTCAGAAGACCAGAGGAGGAGGGGAAACATGCACCCATTTCCAATTTTAATGTCATCGTCTGTAAGCGAGAATGTTATGCCTCAAGGGCTCATTAGATTTTTTACAGTCCAGTATTACTGTGTATTTTCCCTGCTAGTGTTCCTCAAAGAGTGACTGTTTTGAGGCGGGGAACAAAGGACAGAGAAGTTAAGTGTGGTGTTTTAAAAGAATACATTGGCATCTAATTTTACCTTCAGTGGTCTCAATTCTAATTTGAGATACATGGATGCACATTGCTATATATCTTGAAATATCCGTTATTGCACATTCATGTCCAAGCAGAGTAGAAGATTTTACAAGCTACATGGTGATGTGTAGTGAACAGAATTCATACAGTAACCATTCTTGGCTGAGTCACCCAGATTCTCACATGCGCGTGCACACACACACACCTGCTTTAAAGTCATTGGTTGTAATCTGTGTCATATAGCAGAAATATGTTACTATTGCTATCAGTGGCACTAGTTAATCTTGAACTGACAGGTGTTTAGTGGCCCTAATTAGCAGCAGAAGCAGTGTCCTGTTGCTGGGTGTTGTGTCACTTAATACCCTCTCAGTTCTCCTTTAAACTGAGCAAACTACTTGGTGGACACTGATTCTTTCAATGCAACAGCACTGTGCCCCACAAGTCAAGATCAACTGCTGCTGCTTATATTTTAATTATCAAT